AGACAGCACCCTTTTCTAATACTTGACCCAGAAGGAGCACCTTTTTATAATCTGAATGAAGGCACTGTATGGACTAGCAGCTTTGTTGAATGGCACATGAATGGCCAGAACTAGTCCATCATCTAACCTTTTAACACAGTGGCAGAGAGTGGAAAAGAAGTGGGGAGACCCAGCACAGCTTGTCCTATCTGTAAGGCTTCTCAGGTCTGGAACTTCTTACCCTAAGCAGGAGCTGAGGCCATTCAGAATCTGCACACAGAGCCCCTGTGTGCTTTCTTTCAGGTCCTGGGTCTGAGTGTCAAGAGGAAGGGGAAGAAGAGCAAAAGGTATTCCATCCCTCTGCCTCGGAGCCCTGGTGGTGTAGTGGTTAAGCGCTGGGCTGCTAACAGAAAGGTCGGTGGTTTGAACCCACCAGCGCTCCGAGGGAGAAAGATGTAGCAGTCTGCTTCTGTAAAGATTTCAGCCTTGGAAACTGTTATGAACTGTATCCCCCAAAAATGTGTGTCAACTTGGCTAGGCCATGATTCCCAGTATTGTGTGGTCATCCACCATTTTGTGATCTCTTGTGATTATACTATGTGTTGTAAATCCTAATCTATATAATGTTAATGAGGCAACATTAGAGGCAATTATGTTAATGAAGCAGGACACAATCTACAGGATTAGGTTTTATCTTGAGTCAGTCTCTTTTGAGATATAAAAGAGAGAAGCAAGCAGAGACACAGGGGGACCTCATTACCACTAAGCAAGAAGAGCCAGGAGCATAGCGCATCCTTTGGACCTGGGGTCCCTGTGCTGAGAAGCTCCTAGACCAGGGGAAGACAGATGACAAGGACCTTCTCCCAGAGCCCAGAGAAAGAGAAAGCCTTCGCCTGGAGCTGGCATCCTGAATTTGGACTTCTAGCCTCCTGAACTGTGAGAGAATAAATTTCTCTTTCTTAAAGCCATCCACTTTTGGTATTTCTGTTACAGCAGCACTAGACAGCTAAGACAGAAACGCTACGGGGCAGTTCTACCCTATCCTTTAGGGTCGCTATGAATTGGAATCGACTTGATGGCAGTGGGTTTGGTTTTTGGTTTTGGCCATAGACTTTGACCTACAACTTGATTCTAGAGGTTCTCTCTAGCTCATCACACACCTGACCCTCAGCTGAGATTAATCGATCTTTAGCCAGGGGTCCATCTAGTTCTTTGAACTGTTTTGAGTATGACAGAGCCAATCTTTCCTAAGGTATCCATCAAATCCCCAGGGCTAGACCCCACCAGAGTGTGATCACCAGCCATCCTTACCAATGAATTAAGTCAGGATGGACACAAAGAGGCTTCCAAGGGACCGTGGAGCAGCTCTGTTCATTCAGCAAGATTTGCTGACATATACTCTGTGCCAGACACTGGTGGATACTTGGGTACCACACAAAACCAGCTGTGGCCCCTGTCCTCAACAAGTTCCCCATCCAGATGGAGAGACAGGCATTAAAATAAGCAATGACCCCAATGAGTGACACAGAAGGCACTCATTTTTGAGTGAGTGGAAGATTGAATGAATGAATTTATGAAATACTGAGTGTTGTGGTACTGTGGTCTGGGAAATCAAAGAAGGCTTCCTAGAGGAGGAGATATAAAAGATGAATAAATTTAGCTATGCAAAGTGGGGAAGAGTGTTCTAGGCAGAGGGAATAGCATGTGTAGTAGCCTAGGGGTGGTAGAGCAAGATGTGGTGGTAGAACTAAAAAAAACTCTAATCCATCTGCTTACATTGTAGGGGCCAGGCTGGGGATATGTGGATGAGATGAGGTTTGTGAAGTAGACAGGACTGGGTTATAAAGGGCACTGTAATCCATGTTAAAGACTTGAGATTCATCCAAAGAAATGGGAGTTTTAAACAAGCGGGAAAGGTTAGTATTTTCTGGCACCAGGGTCAACCCAATGATAACATTTGACTAGTACCTTCATCTCCATTTTCTGGTGATGATGGAAAAGCATGATGCTTTGTAGAGTTCTCAGTTCCAACCAGACAAGTTACCTATGAATAATCAGAGTCAGGTGGAGACACTCTGTAAGTGCCCCTGTGAGCTCAGGTATGGGGGTGAGAAGATGAACAAGGACCCCTTCTCCATACACTGTCCCCTCACTCTCCAGAAATCCTATCCATGGGGATCCATGATACAGCAGGGAGATACTTTGAAGTTAATAATTAAGGCTGAGAACAAGTATCTGGGGAGAAAAAGGCCTAGGCTGGATGTCCCCGGGTAGCAAGACACCAGGTAATGGAAACCTTGCCCTTTCAGGAGCCAGCGACTGACCCCATTGGCCCCTTTCTCACTTGAGTTATCTTCCAGCCTGTTTCCCTGCAAGACAGTCTTGCCTGAGTTTCACTTGTGATATATACTGGCCAGCAAACATTCACCATATCTGGGGCAGATTCCATGAGCCACCCCTGAACCAAGCCCCAGCCTGAGAGTTCAGGTCCCAGGATCTGGGTGCATGACATGATGTTTCCTCATTTGTGACAGAGGTGCTGGAAATACATTTGTTACCACTGAACTCCACAGAGACAGAAAAGATATGGCATCCACACTGTGAAAGGGAGACAAATAGGAGGTGAATGGGAACAGGGCCTTTACATTATTTTTAAGTAAGTCTCACTCTAGAAAATTCTACCCGGGCAACCTTATTTTAAGGTCCCTTCTCTCAAAGTAAAGCTAGCCAGATCACCAAGCAGGTAAAGCGACAGGTGCTGGGTAGAACTTGGTAACGCTGGACCATCACCTTGTCTGTGTACAAAGCCTCCTAGGAGAATCCAGAAAGGAAGTCCTGCCTCCAGCTCCAGATGCTGAACTCCTGAGCTGCTGGAGTTATAGCCATTATTCTCGCAGTTCTGGTGTCTCTGTGTCTCACCTCATGACTAATGGCTGAGAAAGCAGAAATGGGTTCCCTAAGAAACCCCAAAAGTCCCACTCCTTTATGCCCAAGGTACCTAGAGTAAAGTGAGTAAAAGAGAGGCTCTTGCTGGTTAAGCTTGCCCGAACATTTGTGGGGCCTAAGTATTTGTAAATCAAGTCAACAAACTTAAATAAAGTATGTTCTCCTGTCTTGGCAAACATTCCTTTATAATGATTTGGAAAGTCAGTTCTGAATTTAGAATCTTAGACCCCTCAGAGGGCCAGGTCTGAACATGGCAGTGAACCTGTCCCTAGGCCTCAGTCCCTCCCCTTTCCCTTCCCACCTGTGGCAGCATCCAACACCATGATAGGCCTCACACACATGTATGTGGACACCTCAGCCTGAATATCCACATTCTGTCCAAATAGCTACCCTCGGACCTAGGAGTGTGCCCACTTGAGGTATAGCCCACACTCAGGAGAACAGATCTATGAAAGACACCAATAGAAACTCTAAAAGAGGCTCAGGGGCCATTTAAACAGAGTATTCTGGGATCTCAAGTATTCAGAGTGGCCTGAGGGGAAGAAGTTTCCAGATGGGAATGCCCTCTTGGCCCCATAGATTTCTCACCCCATGGGGAAGGATATCACTGGAGGAGACCCAGGACAGGGATCCCTCTTACCTACAGCTAAGCATGGTACTGTTGGTTGGGGCCAGGACTGAAACCACTGTGTCTTCCCAGCAGTGATACTGGTCGGAGCGTTTAAAGAAACCCATCCATTGTGCTTCTAAACACACCACTACCTTTCCAACTGCTGGCTCTCCCTTACCTCCGTCACTCCTTCATCTCCCCTAGATCAGCCCCAAAGAGAATTCTGAGGACCCCTCCTCATTCCCAGTCACTCCAAAATCAAATCTCCAAACCCCTTCCAAAGTCCTGTGTTGCACGCACATCCTATGTCCTCTCAACATTAACACTTAGGTAGATGCAAACTCTGGCCTCCATTTGCAATTCAGCAAGGGTTTCCTGATGCAACTTGGGCACTGAGGGACTAGTCAGAGATGATGGCTTACGGTCACCCAATGATAAAACCAAACTTGGAATTTATGCCCCACCTGTCAAGAGCATAACAGCCAAAGCTCAAAGTTCAGAACCAAGTGTGAGGATGTGCAGAAAGGTGTGTGTTTTTTCTTGTCATTTGAGACTCTAACAATGGACTCACGTTGCCCGCTCTTCCCTTTCTCTTACACCTTACCTACCTACTAAAGGAGGAGTTCTTGCTTGGTAAGTGGATATAATCCGCAAAGACATGAGAGAATTTATTAGAAGCCACTTGAGAGCCTTAGCTACCTTCTACAGGGGGAAAAGGACACACACAAATATCTGTAGAGACCTTTTTTTTGTTTGTTTTCAGTCAGATTATTTGACTTCCATTTTTTTTTTGTCCTCCCTTTCTTTTCCCCTTTAGTTGAAAATTGCTAAAAATGTCAGTTTGTGACCTTGACTTTATATTTTTAAGAAACCAAAAACTCTCACCTTTATTTCATTTCTTTTCCCCATGTGATATTTGTTTAGGGTTCTATCCAGGCAACTTTTTCTTTACCAAAAAAAAGTCAAATTCATTGAGGATTTGGTTGAAGTTTAAATTTTTGGCTTTATCTCCTTTTTTTATTTCCAAGGTGTATTTTTTCAGGCCCATAGTCCCGTTTCTTTTTCCCCTTTCCCTTCCTTTATTTTTATTACTATTATTTTTTTTAGGTTGAGTTAAGGGTGTTTACACCCCCCCCCTTCTATTGAGTTTTCTCTTTTGTTTGACTTAATTCATTAGAAATTAAATTCCACATAATTTCCTTTTTTCTTTTGTTTAATCTGGATCGCATGCTTTTTATCTGCATGATACCTAAATCTTCCAGTTATCCTAGCAGGGGGTAAACAAATCTCCTTTCTGTGGTATTCTTTCAGGAATTTGTGTTTTTGTTTTTTGGCGTCTCTTCTCCTCTTCTCTCTCTCTTTCCTTTCGTTACAGTGCATCATGACGGTAAACATTTCTTGGTTATTTAGACACGGCCCACAGGCCCTGGGCTCAGCAGTGTCCAACGGGTCTTTTTGCTTTCAGATCACTGGGTCGGGGTCTGCTGCTGACCTCTTTACCAAAACAGCCAGCCCGCTCCCCACCTCCCGAGGACGCTCCCAGGAATATGACTCAGGCAATGACACCTCCTCGCCACCCTCCACGCAAACCAGCTCTGCCGGGTCACGGGATCAGGAGAAGGGGAGCCCCAGTGGGGGCCTGAGCAAGAGCCGGGAGCTCAACAGTGGCAACACCTCTGATTCAGGGAACTCCTTCACCACCTCCTCCCCCCAGAACAAGGGGGCAACTTTGGCGAATCTCTCCCCCACCACCAGGGGCAGAGAGTCAAGGTCAGTGCACCTCAGAGGGGGAAGGGGGTCCCACCTTAGCTCTACCATCACAGTCTGTCACCCCAGCTCCTCAGGACTTTTTTTTTCCTTTTTTTGTTTTTGCAAGAGAGAGAAAACCCAACTCCAACTCAACTAGCTTCAGGTACAGCTTGATCCAAGGGTTCAATATGCATCATTGGGAATCTGACACTCCCATTCAGTCTCTTAGTTCTGCTTCCCTTTCTAGTGGTGCCATTCTCAAGTAGGCCATCCCTAAGCCCTGACAAATATGTCAACCAGCTTATGTTCTATGAGTTTAAACAAAAAAAACCAAACCCCCTGCCATCAAGTAGATTCCAACTTATAGCAAGCCTCTTTTCCAGTGATTTCAGCAAAACACCAGGGCAGGTGCTCACTGTCTCTGCTTGGCCCAGCTTGGGTCATTTGCCCACCCCTGGAGTAAAACCTCTGGCCTGAGGGATGCTATGCTTTCTTTAGTCAGCGTGTGTCACGTGCTACCTCTGAGTCTAAAGAGTAGGATCTTCACACTTACACTAGAATTGGGGGGTGGGGGGCTAGTTCCCTGAAGGAAAAACCTGGATGCTGCTATCAGGAATAGGAACAGAGATGGGTAGCAAAACCAGATGTCAATTTCCCCAATAATCACAGGAGAAAGATTATCATTAAATTCATTTTAAGTCACTGTCATTTAATTATATACCAGAGGACAAATAGGTAAGGGAGATCACGCTATCAGAACACTGAAGCTTCCCAACTTTCTTGCCCATCTGCACACACTTACTAGATAGCACTTTTCCTGCAGAAATTCCTTCCATACACTTGCCTACAAGCCAGCTATAATTCCACCACCTCCTCACCCCCACTCTTAACACTCAAGAAATCGCAGAAAAATGCTAATCAGTGAGAGTAGTGTCACAATAATAGCCACCAAAATTGACTGATCGCTTACTCTGTACCATTCATTCAGCTAGTTCACCTCAACTTGTTTTCAGGCACCTCCTATGTGCCAGGCACTGGGCTTGGGGCTGGAGCTAGAAAAATGGGCAAGTGCAGAGATGCAAGAGGGGTGGGAAGAGGGTTGCTGGTAAAAATCTACCATGCTAGTAGTAGGGTCTCCCTTCTTGGGGCAGGGGTCTGCCTTTGTTCAAAGTGGCCGGGACTTCTGAAAGATGGGCAAAGCCGTGGCACTGAAGCAGTTAACAGTTTCTTCAAGGACAAGCCACCCTTTGTCCCCAACACATAGCCACTTGAGTCCTGGACCAGCAGCCTGGCATCCACACGCAGACCTGGCCTCTGGTTTGTCTGCCCCAGCACATCCCTAGCCTCAGCTCACAGCCTAGCTTGACTAGGAGCCAGGCTGGGTCTGTGCAAATGTCAGGGTCTCTAAGACCAGGCAATGATATTCCGAGATGAGGGAGACGGGCAGAGGGAGGACACTTGTCTACTCATATACGACAGTGGTAATATGCAGGAAAAACTGACCATAGCAATAATAGTAACAACACTAATAATAATTGTTGTTAGCTGCTGTCGAGTCAGCCCCACGACTCATGGCAACCCCATGTACAACAAAACAAAGCACTGCCTAGTCCTGTGCCGTCCGCATGATTGGCTGCAAATTGGACTGTTGTGATCCACAGGGTTTTCGTTGGCTGATTTTTAGAAGTAGATCACCAGGCCTTTCTTCTTAGTCTTAGTCTGGAAGCTGTGTTGAAACATGTTCAGCATCATAACAACACGTAAGTCTCCATGACAGATGACTGGTGGCTGAGCATGAGGTGCGTTGGCTGGGAACTGAACCCAGGTCTCCACATGGACTGTGAGAATTCTACTACTGAACCCCTACTGCCCTCAATGATGATAATAATGGCAGCTAATATTTATTGAGCCCTAACTACATGATAGGTACTGAGCCAAGTGACTTCCATGCATAACCTCCCTTAATTCCTCAAAAAATCTTTATGGGATAGGTACCATTGTAACCCTGTTCGACTGGTGGGGAAACTGAGGCTCAGAGTGGTTAAGAAATTCAGTTAGTAAGCGGCAGCACCAGGATTCAAATGCAGATCTGTCTCCAGAATTAGAGCTAAAGACTGAGGGACATGTAGCATTACCCGCCTAATTTGATCTGTGTGGACAGCCAAATTAAATAATTTAGACTAAGCCTTTCACTTTGAAATATAAGTGATCATTAAATCCACAGCTATTTATGTCATGCCAGCTATGAGCAGAGGGCTCAATAAATATGGGCTGAGTGGAAGAGACATCGACTCTAAATCAGGGGAAGCACAGAGGCTGAAGGTGGAAGAGCTGGTGTCTTGGCGGGGACATAGGTTTTGGAGATGGACAGATCAGAGTTTGGGACTCTAGGAGGCCTTGAGCAAGTGGCTAACCTTCTGAGTCTTCTCAGTAAAGTGGGGATAATGAGGTTGTTGGGGGATTCAATAAGATGATACTTGTCAAGTGCCCAGGACAGTGAAGAAGTTCAAAGGGCTTATTCCATAGCTATATATTGTGGTCCTAGGATCTACAGAAGGAGTCCTGGTGGCACAGTTGTCAAACACTCAGTTGCTAACCAAAAGGTCAGTGGTTCGAACCCACCAGCCGCTCCATGGGAGAAAGACGTGGCAGTTGGCTTCCTTAATTAGGCCCTGTCCTAAGTCCTGAGATAGTGTTGGGGATACACGAGTCCCCTCCCCGAGCAGCTCACTGTCTGGTGGAGGAAGAGACAACTAACAATTATAAGACCAACTGAGGTACAGAGGGATGGGGGGAGCATAGGGGCCAGGGGCTGAGGTGATACATTAGAGGTCATGCAACCCAGACTTAGAGAGGTATCCAAGAAGGCTTCCAGCAAAGGTGAGGCCAAACTAAAGCCTGAACCATGAGTAGGAGTTGTCAGGTGACAAGCGAAGGGAAGAGCATTCCAGGTACTGGGAACAGCATGTTCTAAGGCTAGGAGACAAGGGAGAGAACAGGAGGAGCAAGGAATCTAGTATGGCTGGACTCGAGAGGAGAGGGACAAGAGCTGAGACTGAAGGGGTGAGCAGAGGCCGGGTCATAAAAGTCCTTGAAAAACATATATAATATGATTTGAACTTGACCCTTGGCTCAATCCAAATGAACATGCCCTTACTGAGAACCCAACAGGAGCCCAGCATGACCCTAAACAGGTTGGGAATACAGAAGACAGGCCCCCATCCTTTGGATGATTTTGAACAAGCCCTCATCCATCTTTTGGTCTCAATTCCCCCATCTGCAAAATGGGTTACACCAAAATCTCCCAAACTTAAACCAATTACATGTCACCTTCAAGATTTTTACATATACATGTACTACTGGTAATCGTATTTAATAAATTCAGTTTTTATATAAACCAATTTAAATGAAACTTACAGCAGTATCTTAAATATAAAAAATAGTGTCACTTGTCCTAAATAGAAGACATGTGTAAAGATACATATTAAAACAATGTATTTAATTCTAGCTGGTTACAGTTGCCTGCCCAAGGCCCTGAGCCTGAAGCCTGTGCTCTTACCTGCACTCTCTCTCTCACTTTAGGAGATTACAAAGTGTAAGAAGCCCTGTTGGTGCAACAGTTTAGCATTCGAACCCACCCAGCAGCTCCGCAGGAGAAAGAGCTGGTAGTCTGCGCAGTTCTACTCTGTCACATGGGGTCGCCATGATTCTAAATTGACTCCACTCCATGAGTCTAAATTACCCAACAACAACAGCACCCAACCAAGACTTTCTCATTAATGTAATCAGAAGGACTGAGTGTAAGGCCTGAAAAGGAATATATTTCTCACCATGTGACTTGATGTTATTTAATGCCATGCCCATCCCCAGTGACCTCAAGTGCCATCTGTGGCTGCATTCCACACTTTGTGAAATGCTGGACTAGACTGCCTATTTGTAAGGTATCTTCTGTCTCTACTCCTCTAACACATATGGTGGGAAATCCTTCCAGAAGTATTAAGATGAGAAAAGGTAGGCAGAGAGTTCTGTGAGAGCCACAGCCTAGGCACAGGTGTGGAGGTGAGTATTAGCTCAAGATGCTTCCAGACTAGCAGGCAGTCCGGTGCTAATAGACCTTCTCCCTTCCACAGAGGATTCCAGTTGCCATGTCTGGAATGTTCCGAGGTGAAGAAGTCCAGTCTGGTCTCATCCACAGCTCGGAGCTCCCCCATGAGAGAATGCTCCCGCAGCTCTTCCTATGCCAGCACCCGCTCCTCTCGCTCCCCAAACCCCAGGGCCTCCCCCAGGTATACTCGGAGCCAATCCACCTCCTCTGGGAAAAGGTGAGTGCAATTTTAGCTTTTGCTCTGCAGTACTTTCCTCCTCAAGGAGTTAGTTAACTGGAGAGATCCTCTGCCTCATGGGGGAGAGGAGTCAGACAGTTGAGTTTGAATATCCATTCTGCCCATTACTAGCTGGTAGCCTTGGGAAAATCAGTTAACCTCTCTGAGCCTCAGTTTCCTCATCTGCAAAATGAAAACAGTAACAATACTTACACTAAGGATTGTTTTGAAGACTAAGATATGTATAAAGTACTCAAGAGCAGTACTCGGTACATAATGTATATTAGTTATTATTGTTGCTGCTGGCATGGGGATAAACTAGTGTGTATCACTTGGCTTCCGCTGTATAAAAAATTACCCCAGTACTTAGCATTCTTAAAGAATAATTATTTACTTAGTTCACAATTCTGTGGATCAGCAATTAGGACTGGACTCAGCTGGGTGGTTCTTCTGAGCTTGCTGAACTCACTCACATGTCTTTGGTCAGCTTGTGGCTTGACTGGGGGCTGGCTGGTATAGGATGACCCTAGTGGACTCATCTCTGCTCCAGGTGATCTCTCGTTCTCCAGCAGGCTAGTCTGGGCTTATTTGCCTGGTGACGGCACCAGTCAATCAGAATCAATACATATGAGATGAAGATGATTTGAAATCCTGACTTTAGAGGGATGAGAAAGAAGGGCAGATGCTCCTGGGAATCCGGTGGAGAAACCAAGGCAACAGTTTTCTAAAAGTGGAAGGCATTAGCAGACAGGGGAGAACACTGGAAGTAGGACAGGGGTTAGTGTTTTGGATACACAACAGTATAGTAGTATCAAGAGCATTTGCTGGAGCTAAACAGACCTGGGTTCAAATTCCCTACCAGTTGTGTCACCTTGAGCAAATTACATCACCTCTCTGTGCCTCTGTTTCCCCATCTATAAGATGGGATTGATAATAATACCTCCCCCCAAGGATTGTGTTGACAATTAAATGAGATAATGCATGCAAAGCATTTAGTTTTGTGCTTGGCACATAATAAAATGCAAGAGAATCGTAACTAACATTTCCCATGCCCAGCTATGTGCCAGTGTGATTTACACTAATTTACTTGTTTAATTTATAGCCCTGCAGGGTTGTTGTTTGTAGGCGCCCACAAGTGGATTTTCTTTCAACTCATAGCAGGCCCCATGTGACAAAGTAGAATGGCCCCATAGGGTTTTCTAGGCTGTAATCTTTACCAAAGCAGATCACCAGGTCTTTTCTCCCACGGAGCCACTAAGTGGGTTCCAACCACTAATCTTTCAGCTGGCAGCTGAGCGCTTAACTGTTGCCACCAGGGCTCCTTCCTTATAGGGTAAATACTATTTTACAAACAGTATTTTATAAATGAGAAAACAGAGGCCCAGACAAGTTAAGTCACCTGTCCAAGGTCACACAGCTAGTAAGTAGCCAGGATAGTAAGCACGCAGTAAGAGGAAGTTGTTGTCCATATTACACAGTAAAGCCTGTGAAAGCAACCTGTGTAAGGAGGAAACCTGTCAGATGAAGGAAAAATCAAATATTTTCCACTAAAACAAGCGATAGAAAAGTGGTTTAAGACTGCACCCTGCCAAAGGCAGAAAAATTTGCAAGACCTGGAAAAACAAGGCAGTCCCTTTGAGTTCTGGCTCTCACAGGGTTCACTGCATTAACCACCCAAAGGGGAGGGGATTTCATTCTCTGGTAAGGGCCCCCATTTCTCCTACTGGCTACCAGGAAGAAAAAGGTCGCCACCCGGGGACCAGTTGAATAAAGAGCTGGGCACCCCTGACAACGCTGGCGACCACTCAGCAGGCTCCTCAGGGGCTGTTTCTTCTTCCCCAGGTCCTACTCTCGTTCTCCCAGCTATTCCTCCAAGTCAGGCAAGCGGAGTCCGCCAAGTAGAAACTCTCGATCCCGCCGCAGCCCCAGCTACTCCCGCTACAGTCCCAACAGGTACTGAGCTGCCCCTTGGCCGAGGGCGCCACCTCGTCCTGCCTCCAGGCCCCACTTCTTTGCGTGGATCTACTTCCCTGAGCCACCTCTCACAGGTGGGGATGGGGAGATAACTCAGCATTCTTGCAGTTCCTTTTGTCAGGAGTGGCAAAACCAAAAACAAACAAAAAACCCCAAATCTGTTGCCATGAGTCTGTTCCGATTCATAGCAACCCTATAGGACAGAGTAGAACTGTCCCACAGGATTTCTGAGGAGCGGCTGCTGGATTCGAACTACCAAGCTTTTGGTTAGCAGCCAAGCTCTTAACCACTGCACCACCAGGGCTCCAGGAGTGGCAAAGAGGCCCCAAATATATCCTTGTGTCCTAATGTCCCCACCCCAAACACCCAACACACCCACACCCAAGAATTCACATCTCCAAGCCTTTATTCTCCTCACATACCCATAATACGACCCCCTCATTCCTGTTTTCAGACCCACGTCCGAAACATTCACACCCTCACCCCTCTCGTGCCCACCCAAAAGGGCTGACACCCCTGCACATGCTGCAGCAACCTCATAGTGCTCACCCACTCTTCCGTCAGCCCTGTCATCTTCCCTCCCACCCTCCCTGGGTCTGGTGCAGATTCCACCTCCTGCCCCCGGTGGGATGGAAGAGGCAGGTACAGAAAGAAGTGAGAAGCCAGCCAGCCCCAGCTCTAAGTAGTCCACTCCCCGCCCCGCACTCCTTCAGGGAGCGGGACCCCAAATACAGTGAGAAAGACTCGCAGCAGCGGGAACGAGCGCGGCGGAGACGTCGGTCCTACTCACCCATGAGGAAGCGTCGGAGAGACTCCCCCAGCCACCTGGAGGCCCGGAGGATAACAAGGTGAGGCCAGGAGGGGCAAGGCTGTCCTAGCTGAGTCATCTCCCCCTGCTCCCCCACGTTAAATGAGGGACCTTAGATGGGGGGGGGGCCAAGGGGCAGAGCCAGACTGAGGAATTGGTTGAGGGTGTGAGGGTGTGGTCTGAGCCTGGGGCGGGGCCAAGAAAGGGGTGGGGCTAGGCTAGGAATGGGGGCCAAAGTAATGGGGTGGGGCCTTTGCCTGGGGGCAGAGCCAGGGCAGTGGAGACAGACCACCCTCAGACCCACACACTCTTGATAACAGGCTCAAATAGAGCCGTATATAAATACAGCCTGAAGCAAGTGTGGAGAGCGCAAACAGGGCTACTTAGGTGCCAATGGGACTGACAGAGAGCCTGGTCGGTAAGAGAGAGCACTGGACCAAGTCAAATCCGACCATGCCACTTTCCAAGTGACTCCAAGAAAGTCTCTTCACCCACTTGACCCTCAGTTTTCTCACCCACCAGATGATGGGGGAAAATACTCCCAAGGCTATTATAAGGATGAAATGGGCCGGGGGCGGGGGAGGGCAAAAAGACGCGAAGGTGCTTTGTAAACTTCACTACCAAACACCAGAACACACAGTGTGTCCTCGTTATTAATCGAATGCCCAGGATGGGTGAGTAAGATATCCTGTAATGGATGAAGTCTCAAAAGGGAAAAGCCCTAGAAGAGAAGCTGGAGGTCTGAGTGGAAACCAATTTCTCAGGCCTTGAAAACTGGGAGAATCACCAACGCTGCCCTAAAATTGGGCTCTTGAGGATAGTCTCTTGGACTCTTCCTTCTGACCGAACAAGGGTTAGCCACTCAGTCCAGAGACTCCCAGAGAGATGGATACTGGCTGCCCAGTACCTCCTTCCTAGAGATGACACGGAGAAGAATAAAGAACATGGTCCCCAGCAAGTAAGACCTGGAGTGATGGCATCCCCTTCTCATAAATCCCACAGAGCACCCTACCTCTGCCAGGTACGCAGTAGGCACTCCTACACCCATTGCCTTGACAAAAGGTGTACTTGGCGTCGACCTGGAGGACAAAGCTGAGAGGAGAGCAGCCCCATATAATCCATCTTGATTAGTCCATTCAGTATTTCCCAAACTTCAGTCACCAGCATCATCTTTACCATCTTTGCCTTGTCTGCTTACTAACCGTACTATTTACTTAACTTTTCTTTAAATAGATATGCCCTTTTTAAAGAGACGCATACGTTTATTTCAAAATGAAACGTGACAGACTATGTAGAGTAAATGGAAAATCAGCCTTTCTCACCATAAATAGAAGGTTCTAGTAAAAGTAAAGGAACCCTGCTGGTGCTGACTCCATGGCAATGGGTTTGTTTTTTTTTTTAGTAAAAGTAAAAATAGCAAAACAAAACTATGATGAAAGCTTAGATGTAGATTCTGCTGTCAGCTGGAGGCTGTGAATCCCAGGCTTGCCTTGTTAAAAAAGGAAATTATCAAGACGTATTAGCACTAAGCTGGGACTTTCCCCTTGATGTTTTCAGGACTGCTGGGGAAATGGTGAAATACTGCTTTCCCCTGGGACAAGGGTGAGGTTCTCGGGTTGATCTGGGAGCAGTCTGGCCCTCATGCATCCTTCCTCTGGTCTCCCCAGTGCCCGGAAACGCCCCATCCCCTACTACCGGCCCAGCCCCTCTTCATCCAGCAGCCTCAGCAGCGCCTCCTCCTGGTACAGCAGCAGCAGCAGCCGCTCCACCAGCCGCAGTTACTCCCGGAGCCGGAGTAGGAGTCGGAGCCGGAGCTGGACCCGGACCCGCAGTAGCAGCAGCTCTGGCTCCCGAAGCCGGAGTCGGAGCCGGAGCTACAGCTCAGCAGACAGCTACTCCAGCACGAGGCGCTAAGCAAGGACCCTCCCTTGAGCCAGCTGCCCATGGGGGCACCTTCAGTCTGCCAGCCTTCCCCACTATCTGCCCACCCTGACTTTTCCTTGGTGACAGACATTGAGGGCTCCTGGACCCTGTCCTTCCTGCTCTCCTGGGGAGGAGCAAAAGAGGGTCCGGGGGGAGAGTCCACCTTCTATACCGAGCTGCTAGGAGTCTCCACCAGCACCATCCTGGGGTTTAGCACTAGCCTGGGCACATAGAGAGAACCACTCTCCTTTGGCACAAAAAACTTAAGGTTTTGTAAAGAGCAATGAGTCCATAGCTCAGAAGTTGGGACCTGGCCAGGAAAATGTTGAGACAGTTCTGCTAACCCCCGCTAACCGAATGCACACTAGGGCCAGTGGTCATTCATCCCCACCTGCCCCCCTCCCACCCTCACCTCCCCACCATTCTCCCCTCATTCAGTTCCACGGCTGCATGTTTATGGACTCTCATGCAGTGGAGAGGTGACAGAGGAGGGCAAGGGTAGTTCAGGCCCAAGAGAGGGGGTCAGGCCTTTCACCTCCCTAACTAGGCCAGAGCAAAGGCTGAAAGACTCTTGGGTTCTAGAAGAGAGGACATATATGATGATAGGAGACACAGACATTTGAGTTGGCAGTAGGTGTTAGGAGACAGGCAGTGGGTTCCCTAGAGGCCCCTTGATCTGAGTATAGAGGCAAAACGAAGGGACCAGTCTGCTGCTCCCAAATTTCAGCATGGTCACGGGAAGGAGCCCAGCAGGTTCCACCAATGCAAAGGCCACCACATGGCTTACACAAAATGTCACTTGGCAGTTCACAGGGACCCCGCACTCCCACTGAGAAAGGAGACAGTGAAACAGTCGGGGTAGCTTGGTCTCTAGCCCCACTTCCCAAATTTGCCTCAGCCCCACTAGCTGGCACCAGCTTAATTCCACGGGACCATCTGCTGAACATTCCCCCGGTGCCATGGCCTGCTGCCAGTCCCCAGCGCCAGCCAGTCTGGCCTTCCCCTGCAGTTGGCGCCTGCCCACCCCTTCCCCACTGCCCAGACTGCCACACCCTGGATTCCACCCAATGCAGCCAGGCACCCACCCACCCACTCTTCAGCTTAATCCAGCCCCCTTGCCTCTCAGGAATTTTGCCAGGTTGGGGCACAGTAGCTCAGGTTTGGAGGGGGAGAGACCCAAATCCAGATAGTCTGGGGAAGAGGGGCTTGGATGTTCCATGTCGTGGACTCCCACTGGGTTCTGGGGTTTGCCAGCTTTGGGGAGCCCCCCCTTCATTTCTGCCCCCGTGCCACCTTCGCCCTGCCCTGGGCTCCACAGTGAGGGTAAGCTGATCCCCGACCCACAAATACCACCAGCTGCCTCATCCTCAGAAGGTGCCGAGGACAAGGGGTGAGGGCGAAGAGCCTTAAAATAAACTCTTGGGCATCCCCCTCACCAGCTGACTGGCTTTCCGGAGGCTGGTGGGTGAGTTTGGAGTTTGTGGTGGCAACAGCAGCAGGGCATGGCACTGAGGGAGAAAGGGTCAGTTCCCAGCTTAGGACCTGGGGCTGTGGGGAAGCAGAAACCAAGCAGTCTTTATCCCTCTTGCTCCAGGGAAAATATTTGGAAAAAAAATTCTCTTTCTTCGAGGCAGTGCCTCTGCCCTCCCTAATCCTTCCCATCACATCAGCCTGTGGGGCCAGAAACTGCCATGCAACCACCCACTAAATCCTTCCACCATCAGGAGAGAGCAGGGAGGGGGCCGCGGGAAGGGGAGGAGGACCCGGTCTTTCCATGATGCACCCTGGCCAGGCCTAGGCCCCGCCCCTGCCTAGGCCCCGCCCCGACATGGGCCCTGCCCCGACATGGGCCCCGCCTCTGATTTAGGCCCCGCTCCCCACAACGGGTGATGCCAATGCTGTCACCGCAGAAGGCCGGCTGGCAGGTGCCTGGGACAGGGGCAGGTGCCCTGGGAGGGCATGTACAGCAACTGTAAATAACCCTCTTTCCCGCCCAGGAACCCAGACTGGACTCCAGTCTCCCTTCCTGGAGACAAAGGCCTCGGAGGCGAGAGAACCTCCTACGCAGGACAGCAGTGAGAGGCACTCGGGCCTCACGGTTCGCGGGGCCAGCGCCGGACTGCCTTCGTTCAAACAACCTAGGGGACCATTTCGCCTGGGGTGCTCAGCAAACCTTTTATTTATGTTATTTATTTATCTATTTATTTATTTATGTGATGACTTCTTACCTGCCACCCCCACTCTCTGAAACACTTGGTTGCCATTAGCAGTATTTATTTATTTATTTGTACGGAGGGGTGGTGAGTGTATGTGTGTGTTTGCGGGGGTGGAGAGGCGTCTAAATTATTTTTGTGCATCTTTTTTCTGGGTCTCTGTTGATGGGATTTGATAGGCTGGGAGTGGGTGAGGTGTTGGCCTTTACCCTGAAGTCGAGACCCAAACCAAAACACCGATTGCCATTGAGTTGATTTCAACTCATAGCGACGCTATAGGGCAGAGTAGAGCTCACTCATACGGTTTCCAAGGCGCCACTGGTGGATTCAAATTGCTGTCCTTTTGGTTAGCAGACAAGTTCTTAACCACTATGCCACTAGGGCTCCAGTTGAGACCCAGATTGCTGTAAACCCAGACTGTCCTGGAGTTTGCCCCAAAGCACATCAGGCCCTGGATTTTGTCGTTCAGCCTGATGTCAGTGACGGTCAGGCCTCTGCCCCAGCCCTCTGTCCACAAGCTACCTCACTGAGTTATCAGAGATGCAAACAGCCAAGAGGCCTAAGAGCTAAGGCGCTGAATCAACACAGCAGAGTTGCAGCTTAGATGGGGGTTGGAGTCTAAAGTTTGCATGGAAGGGACAAACTGCACAAAGTCAAAATCACTTGTGAAAGGCCCTCAGGGAGCTACCAGACTGGAGATAGACGTGCTATCTATCTCTTGGCAAACGGGTGAGCCTTCAGTTGAGAACTTGCTGAAATAGTTGCCTTGTGTTTTGGGGGCCATGGGGGTTGAAAATGCTTTAACACTAGGATGGCAGTTGGAGTGGCGAGGTGCTCAGACTATGAGAGCAAGGCAGGAGTTGAGCGGACTAAGGGGAGAGAAGATGCACATTTGATCGCACCCTTGCTCCAGGGCATGTATTACTGGGCAGCATTACTAACTAGCTTTCCCGAGAGGACCTAGTTGGTTTCATGTAAGTTAAATATGATTCAACCTCACTGTACCTAATTTCTCGCCAACCCCTGGGATTTGGAGGCTGCATTGTTTGGAGCCCTGGTGGTGCAGTGTTTAACAGCTTGGCTGCTAACCAAAAGGTCAGCAGTTCGAATCTACCAGCCATTCCTTGGAAACCCTCTGCGGCAGTTCTACGGTGTCTTATAGGGTCTCTATGAGTCGGAACCGACTCAATGGCACATAACGACAACAACAACAGCATTTGGTCTGAAGTGCAGTCAGGCTGCGTGGGGAAGAGGTATCAGCCATCCTGGAAGAGACCCACAAATCTAAGGCAAAAGTCTTTTTCTATAATCTCTAGCTGCTTCATTTGGGGAATTAGGAACAAATGAAATTCTGAAACTAGGAAAAACAAGATGACAGGAATGCCAAATGTTTCCCCCCAAGAAGGTCATTTTCGAGCCCATCCTGGGAACCAGGATCCAGAGCCCTTTACCAGTCCTGCCTCTCTGCCCAGCTGGCAGTGTTTTCTGGCTGCTGGCTAGAGAGGGCTTGGCCCTTTCCAAAGTCACTATACACGTGTGGAATTGCCAGGTTGCCTGGTCCAGCCTTGGATTTGGTGAGATTTTTGCAACATCCCTGGTTGTTTCCCTGGCAATGTGACTACTCTATCATAACCCAAGCAAGGGGGTGTCCCCACCCTGGAGGCAGTTTGTAAGAAGGCTGCTGAAAATGCTTTCTGGGTGGTAATCTTGGCTTTTCCAACTCTCTTGCTGTGTTTCTCTAATTTCCTTTACACTCCTTTTTTGTCTACCCAAAAATAAAACTCTTGCTGGGACATTAGAAACCTTGATTAACTAGAGTTCTCAGTCCCTGGCTTGCTGCTTCCCTGCCCACTTCACCCTCATTACTTCCAGGGCATGAGACGGATCACCTGAAACCCACTTATGGTGAGGATGGATCTTAAAAACCAACACCCAACATGGGAGGGGGATGTGGCTTGAGGTCAAGCACCATGTGACTCAAGCCCTTTGACCTTCCCACTATAACCAACACTTGCTGGGTGAACCTGGGCAAGTTGCTCCCTTTCTCTAGGGCAGAGTTTCCACCTCTATAAAGTGGAGGGGTTTTTGAGATCCAATCCAAAATGTTGACATTAGGGAGATTCTCCAAAGACTCAGTTAGCCTCACTGAGACTCAGAGGGAAAAGGAAAACAGCCTTAAGGATTTTTAGGAGGGAGCTTTAGGAGTCCTGGTGGCACAACAGTTAATTGAAAGGTCAGCAGTTCGAACCCACCCAGCGGCATGGGAGAAAGACCTGGCGATCTGCTCCTGTAAACATTATAGCCTACCAAAACCCTGCGGAGCAGTTCTACTTGTGACATGGGATCACTGTGAGTGGGAATTGACTTGACAGCATCTAATAACTCAATCATGAGAGTGAAAACTAAAAGCAAGACTTGAATCCCCTTCAGCTAGTTAGGAAAGGCTAACGAATGGAAAGCCTCCATCCAGAAGCATTCTAGTTAACTGAAGTTTGACTACATTCCTAAATCTGTATGGGCTCTGAAGGGAAGTTATTCTTCCAGAAGCAAAATGAAATTAGACAGGATACCAGAGTCTCAGCCACAGGGAGCCTCCACACTTCATTTCCTCAGACCCATCCTCGTTCCCAAAAGGCGTTGCTTGAAGAGGCTAACATTTGGGGTGCTCCCAAAGATACAAAAGGCACTTTTTTCCCTTCTCAAGTCCAAATGCCAGCTTTTCCTCTACAGTGTTCTTTTCATCTCTCCTCCCCAAATATTCAAAACAGTCTCGTGTAT